CTTGGGTATTACATCTAAACAATTAGAAGAATTTTTAAATGTTCCCAAATGTCGACTTGGTAAGCTTCTCATCTTTCAACGGGCGTATGTATATGAACACATACGTATATGAAAAAAAAACATTAAACACCAGTATAATCGAGGAATTATACTTTAAACCTTTATTTCCAACTTTGTAAATTTTAAAACCAGTCAGCTCCTACTGAAAATTGTAACATTCAACGAAAATATTTTATTTTATCATGGTTTATGCCTAATCATTAAAAATGCAGAATGTGTATTGGGGCGTAATTCAAAACAAATAACTCTTTTCAAGATCAACTAAATATTTTAAATGTATTTATCTCAATTTATATAGACTGACACTCAAAAAGAATCAGCACAGCGTTTTGTATTCCCAGTAATTCATTACAAACTTGTTATGGGTTCTAATGTTTACAGGCTTCTAAAATCCAACAGAGACTTATGGAGGAAGTTTAGACACTGAAGAGAGAATAAATCGGGAAGGAACGCGTAACGACCCCCAAAACACTCATAAACAGGGTTGTGTTTGAAAGTCCAAATTATATAAATCACCTCTTCGATCTTCACTCAATTCCGGCATTTCTCCCTTTAGACCTTCAGTTTATCATTCGGAAAATAGTGAAACGTTGGTACAACTTACACCTTAGTGAGTGTTTCATAGCTTTTACCTGTGTTTTAATTTGTAAATATTATAAATGTTAATATCAGTTTTAAAATTTTTATATTTAAAATTTTATAAAAATACTATGTTTAATATTTAAAATTTTATAAAAATATGAAAATACTAAATACAAATTTTTAAAAGAGTTTACCTGGATGTAAAATACTATATTTTAACATTGTCAATGGTATGAATTCGAATAAAATGTTAAAGAAAATTGTATCCCCATTTCAATATTACATGCACAATAAAAAAAATTATTACAAGTTAATTAATTTATTTTTAAAATGTAAAAAAATTAATAGAAAACATACATGTATTTGTTTTCTGTTCAAACAATTTCTTTAAACATGAAAATAACGGTAATTACTATTACTAAATTTTAAATTATTTAATATACATTTGTAATATTACTGATAAACGAAATGCTAAAAATAATTTTAAATTGCTTCATGGTCATGATATGGTGGTTGTTCAGTAAAGGCCAGCTGACCATATGAGCATATTAAAATAATCCCCACATGTCAACAACAATACAATAATAAAATTTTAAAAATGTAAACTTTCCAAGAAAAACATTCTGGTTCAAAAAGTGCAATTTTTCTCTCTTGTAATATCGTTTCTTTGTGTAACATAATTCATTTCTCTCTCCTTTTATTTTGACTTATTTCATTTACCTTTTCCTTTTGTGTTCATTAAATAAACCCTTTTTAATTTCACTCTAAATTCTGTGTACCTACTGTGAGAACATTTGGACATTAATGAAACATATTATCTTCTCAACTAGAGCCAACATTCGACCAGATCTTCTTTCAAGACCTTAACGTCATGAAGTGGTAACATAACTATAGTTCAGAATTAAAAATTATACCAAAAGTCCAATATTTTCTGTTGTCAAAATTAAATTAATAACCCATATACAGTCCACTTTATTATTTCTACAATAACCTTTTGATTACGCTACAGTGGTATATCTTAGAAAATTACTTGTCTGCTAAACAAGTCTGTTGTTAGGAATGTTTAGATTAAATCTCGTATTTAGATGTAATTGCAGCGTTGCTAAAGTACGGACGAGTTATAGGCAAATATTATATTTTATACGTTTCTTATGTTTTGTTTTATAACCAAGGCTTTGCTTGTTTTTTGTTGTATTTGTATATTTGATTTTATAGATTTTATTTACTATTTCCAATTTTGTTATACCTTAGTTCTGTACTCTATTTACGTATTTCCTTCTTATATTTTACTTTATTAGATATTTTCTATAATAACCTATATACCTTATACGATATGGAGGGTCACTGTTACACCCCTTTTTCATATGATCTACTCAACCAATTTTTACGATTGAGGTGTCGCTTGAAATATAATAAGAATTAAAGCCACGTGAGTATTTAAATGGCTGTTTTTGCTTCAGTATGGCAAAAAATTCAATAGTGTAATGTTGAAAATAGTACGTTAAAGTGCTTTAAAGAATCTAAAGTTATTTAAATACACAACTACATCCTCAATCCGTTTACCACTGTAAAACTGGTAGAAACCTTAACTTGTTCATGTGTGAAGATAGATGTGTTTATGTTTGAATCACTGATTCAAATATTTTTCTTTCGTCGTATTTAACTCGCGGGGATCATTGATGTGTTTTCTCTACCTTCTACTGATAAACCACAGCCTGTTAGATATACTTTTATGCCCCCATCGCAGCAAACCTGCAGACTAAGCGAATTCCGATTTCCTAGTTGGGAGTTTCACTCAAATATTTCCTTAAGTGTCAGAATTATTTCCTACTTACATGACATTAAGTTTTATTAGTACTTAAGGATGCTATTACTGTACACTGAAGATACTCCCCCCAACCCCTAACTTCTTACTTTCCCTCATCTCTTCAATTTGGAACAAATCTTCCCTCTACTTATCATGTTTTCCCAAAATCCATCACCACTTACTCAATTTTAGGTGTTTTATGTGGAAGAGACTTTCTCTGTATTTATCCTAATTTCCCTTCCCTCACCTCCTACACACTCTCAACTCCTTGTGGAACAGACCTCTCCCTACTTATCCCTACTTTCTACCCGCCCATACCTCCTACTAACCCTCAGCTCTTTAATGTGTAACAGACTTTCTCTCTACTTATCCTACTCACCCCAACCTCATACCTGTTGGTCACTCTTAGCTCTTTAATGTGGTACTTCTCTCTACTTATCCTAATTTCCCTCCCTCACCTCTTACTCACTCTCAGCTCCTTAATGTGGAACATAACTTCTCTATACTTAACCTACTTTCCCCCAGCCCCTACCTTTTACTCACCCTCAGATCCTTAATATATAACATGTATTCCCTCAACTTATTCTACTTTCCCCCAATCCACTTCTTCCTACTCAATTTTACCTCCGTGGAACAGAACCTCTCTCCACTATCCTACTTTCGCAACCACCTACCCCTTACTCAACCTCATCTCAATTAGAACAAACTTTTTCCACTTATCCTACTTTTCCCGGTTACCTCCCGCTATCTCCGCGTCCCGCCACCTCCGTGTACCGCTACCTCCGAATTTCAGAGTGACCCCTATAATCCTCGGTTACTTCCTGCGTTAAGACTTTCCGTCCAAACCTAACCTAACCTAACGTAACCTAACCTAACCTAACCTAACCTAACTAACCTGACCTAACCTAACCTAACCTAACCCACGGGTTAAATTTTCATTAAATCTTCCATCCACGGGGCTTCGCAGCCGTGGATGCAATGACAGCTAACAACGCAGGCAGTGATGTGATTATAAGGGTCACTCAAGAATTCGGAGATGGCGTGACAGATTTGGGTTCGGAGATGGCGGAACGCGGAGATAGTGGGAGCACACGCTTTTCCCACCCTCCCTACTCACCCTCAGCTCCGTCAGGTGGAAGAGACCTCCCCTCTGCAGCACGGATGCCTCCCCCTGGTCGTTGCTCGACAAAGGATTGCCGTCCAGCCTGAGCTCTCTCACTGAGAAGGCGACAGGACTAAATGTGTTGGCGGGGAACTCCGTGATGTTGTTGTTGCTAAGGTCGAGCTTGTGGAACCTATGTTTGGACATGCGCTGGATCACCTCCTTGGCTTCATCACCTGGAAATTAATGATGGTTTTGTTGATGTAAGAGACAGTAACGTTCTGAAGGAGTTGGTCTGGATAGTAGTTTTATGGAATCATCATCCAACTGTTGATTCGTCTACTTGACTCAAGTTTGATTCTTCAACTTTATGTTTTGACTGGTATGCATCCGAAAAAAATCAGGAATACATAGTTTATCTTCTTTTAAACTGTTTCTACTAACTTAATAAAGAAAATACATGCATTATTTATCAATTTGAATTTGCGGACAGGTCAATAAGGTATATGTAGGCTCATTTCCAATAGGTTAGGACATAAATTGATGCATATTGCTTACTCACAAGTTGTTATGTTGATTAAGAATATAGTTTTCCTACAGTTACCTGACAAAGCAGGCTTTCTTGTACTAATTATAGCCAATTGCTGCTTTTACATACTTTTTCGCACTCATTTTACTTTTTCCGCACTCCAGTATTCCAACTAAACAACAAAAAACAATTTGCTTTTATAAAGCACGTAATACGTGTACACTGTACGTTCAGTGTTTGAAAGACTAATTATTTCTAGGCTTTATAGTAACTGTAGGAAAAATGTAATGTGTAACACGAGCGCAAAGTGTCTTTGCTGCATTCGAGAAGCTTACCAAACTCGTCAGCGGCTCGTGTATAAACATTTCATATGCAGCAAAGTGTCACTTCGTACACTAGTTACATAATTAACTATTTCTTCATACTGCAGCAAAACAGCCGTTTTCATACAGTGATGCACCTTTTTATAACAAAAAATGTATGCAAAGCATCACAGTACCCTTAGGGGTACAAATTCATACTTATTATTTAAATACGTTATTTCATCCAATTTATCTCTGGAAACATTACAACGAAATTCTTCCATTGTAACGCGTAAATGTAGTAACTAGAGACTGCAAGAAACAGCGAGAACTAAATATGATATTGACACAAGCCAGAGCAAACACGTAACCGATCTCAATAAAGTGGAGAGCAAATAAACATGTTTGCTAACGATACGGTCGAGGCGGTGTTCACTTTCCTTCGCCCTAGACACTGTTATATTCCTTAATTAATAACCAATTATATGTTGATTAGGAAAAATAATTAAGAGGACTATCTTTAATCCTTTGAATTTTAGTTACAGTCTCAACAGTGAGTTTACTTTTAAGAGGAAGCAATGTCAAGTTTGAGTAATAATGTTTCAAGGACGAATAAAAAATAAAAATAAAGATTTTCCTTATAATTGTCTCTCTTACAAATAAATAGAAGCGGGTCTAGCGATTAATACGGAAAAAAGGTCATTGCATGAGAGAACTAGAGGGGAATTGTTGTGGAGGCTGGAGATGAAAGAGGGCTGTAGCACTAATGGATTAATTAGAGTTAAAAAAAAGTAAACTAAGACAAATTGGTAAACCATCTTGAAAATAGTTTTAATCGATTACAAAACCGCAAAGATAGTATCTTCACATAAAATATATCTTCGTAAGCACAGACTTATGTCGAGTACTCATGAACAAAATGCTGAACAATTCTAAATTGCTTCATGGTCTGACTATGGTAACGCTTACATTATTTGATGCTAAACAAGTCTGTTGTTGGGATTGTTTTACCTTACAGTTAGGAATGTGTAGATTTAACCTCGTATTTAGATGTAATTGCAGCGTTGCTAAAGTACGGACAAGTAATAAATAAATCACTAAATACTGCTGAAAATAAGAATCTAAGCTAATAGAAATTGTGAAAGGACCCTCATTTAATTGCTTGTTAAGTCAAAGGACACAAAAAATACTTTGTCAAGACTAAACAATTAAAAGTTATTCAGTGAGTACTCACCGGTCAGCATGAGGTCAGAAAGGTCAAGGCATCCAGTCATCATCCTCCTCTCTTGACCTGTGTAGTGGCGAATACCGGTCAAGTTGACAAACAATGGTTCTGCATCAATGGAGTCAGAGATGGTCACATACACAGTCGTCTTCTTGCTGATGATTGTCTCCTGGACCAGGGGTATGCCTTCCTCAGCAGCCAATAGAAGCTCAGTGATGTTCTCTGGCAGTGCCATGTCTAAAGCGTTGATTGAATACAAGTCAACTTCCTTCTCTGGTGATTCAGATGAAAGCAATGGCTTTTCTGGAATTGCTTCTTGTGCGAGAGCCAAACTTTCTTTAGCCACAGCAATATCTTCTTCTGTAGGTGGAACCGCGGGAGCATCGGATTCTTCTAAAGCTACTCCAGGAACAGAAATCCACTTTCTTGGTTTCTTCTTTTTGTTCTTAGGCGTGGATTCTCCAGAATGTACCTCTGCAGAAACGTTTTCAATCTCTTTAATAATCTCAGCTATAGTCTCTGGTTCAGGTTCCTTCTTTTCTTCTGGTGCAGGAACTTCATCGACCTTTTCTTCTTTCGATGCAGACATCCATTTTCTTTCTTTCTTTTCTTGATTTTGTTCTTTCAAAATCTTTTCTTCCATTTGCTCTTTCAGAATCTGTTCTTCCTTTTGATCTTCCAAAATCTTTTCGACTGGTATTTCTTCAACTTCTTTCGAAGCTGAAATCCATTTTCTGTCTTTCTTCTTATCTTTCTTTCCTTCCACAGCAGACACAGGCTCTTCCTTCTTCTCGGGTGTCTTCTCTGTCAGTACATCCTGGTCAGCTTGGACACCCCGGGCGTCGAGGGAATCTTCGGCTGCAGACTCTGCAGAAGCCACGACCTCCGGAGGAACGACTTGTTCGGCGTCTCCTGCCGGCTCCGCAGCCACCGGCACATCCTCCACGGCAGGCACACCGGTGATGGAGGGTGAAGGTTCCTCAGGGGAGAGAGTCGAAGGTCCAGGGGTCGTAGTGTGCCACAGCCGATCCCGCTCTTGTGTAGATGCTGTGGTAACAAACGCGTACAACAGCAGGCAGCACAGCTGGAACATACATTAGCAGATAGACTGTGGTAATTTGTATCAATAATGTTAAAAAAAAAAAAAAAAAACAGATGCAATCCATTCAGCTTTCGAGGGTGTAACGCAAATTTACTCACTTTTGTGGGCCAAATAACATTTAAAAATAGCTTTTTGAGGAAATAAATAGTATTAAATCTAATTTAATTTTACCACATATTCTTTCCACTTATTTATCTATATTTTCTTTCTACTAAAACGTATTTTTCTTAAAGGGATTTACATATTACCTGTGCATGGTAGAATTATTCAGTTAATTTAAAACACAGATCAACTTAGAGCTATGTTTCTAACCATGGCTGTGAGTAGTAAAATGCATTTATATTTTGTTCAGTAGACGTAAAAAGTTCTATTTTAAATTTCAAACAACATATTTTCAAGGCTATAACGTGTATGTGAGTTTGTTAATAGTATTTAACTATAATCATAATGCTATGACAAATACTTAATTTACCACATATTTTCATGGTAACTCTCACATTTTTCTTAGCATTTCTATTTCAATGCCAAGTAAGTATAACAAAACATTTGACAACTTGCAGCGAATTTCATTGATTAGTTCATTTAGAATTCCCATAAAGTATATATAACCTTCTGCTGTAACTGAATAGATATATCGTTCAACGATACCATAATGTCAATTAGGTGATTGAATTGAGTAACTGACCCAAAAAAACTAAAAAAAATGTCTAAATAATCAGCCTTGTAAGAATACAAAATACCCTAGTGTAATTTAATTGTGGTAAAAAATTAATTAAAATGAAACGCATAAGACTAAAATAACTGATCATAAAAGAAAGGTTTACGTCAAAGTTAGCAATGTCCTAGAAATCTGTTGTTTTTAAACTGACAAACAGTGCGCAAACACGTACGTTTCCACATTGCTAGGCTAATCACGTACGCAGTTTGCTTCTCACATTAGTCATGTTTATAATTCCGACAAGTTCCCTGTTGACTAGAGATGTTAATTTACCTTGTGTGCGATTTTAACAGCTAAAAGGTTTAAGCAAAGATTATGCAATGATTTAACAATGATTAAACAATGATTAGCAATGATTAAACAAACTCCATTATACATTTAAAGTTTGTGGATCAGCTGATCGTAGTTAGGTGTGATTATGCTAGTTTGGTGGTTTTTGTATTCGTTGATGCCTTCTCTTGATTTGTCATATTGACCTTAAAATATTGTTAGTCTAGGATGAGCCTCTGGGTTTACATTATAACGAGAGCTCTTTTTGATGTATCTTATGTCAATGGCATTTTTCAATAGTGTTACTTGTTTGTATTTACTGTACTTTGAATTAATTTATCATTGAAATCACATGCGTGAAGAAAATCAATTGATAATGAATGTGTGATAAGTAAATTTGCAGATTTATTGTGAAAGACCTATGATGTTTTATAAAGGTTTTATGTTATGTGTTAGATTTGGATACAGATATTATGGTTCCAGTCATTTATTTTGTTAACAGTGAACTGTTTGTTAAAGATATTTATGATGCGTTACAAGATTTTCATTGCAATGGTGTTGAAATATAAGTGTTAATAAAGAATGATTAGCACGGTTACACATTTATGAGGTGCTAAGAACAGCAATATTTACCTATTTCTACCAAGCCTTGAGATCGTTAGTAAGTTTTATCGATCTAGTTACGTAAGTTAGGTTACAGCAAGCCTAACTTACGTTGATAACGAGTAAAGGAGCGAAGCAAGTACAATTTTATGAATTTATAGCTCAATCTAGGTCATTATCAAGAGATAAGAAGCTGTAAAATTGATTAGCAGTTTGGGATAGATTGTACATTAGACTATTATACATAACGGATATCCTAGGTCACTGACTGAGTTCTATAAAGTGTTAACTGTAATGTATAATGGGTAGAATTTTTTTTTTTTTTTTATTATCACTCCGTAAAACAGGGATTAAATCAAGTAACTTCCTTATAAACATTTATCCGGCTCAAAGGACCATATTTTCAAAACTGAAAACAATAATCAGACGATTTGTGATGATAAGTAGGATTTTTAATCTTTTACCTTCAGTTCAGTATGACAATTTACTTCCAACAATACGTCAATTACATTTTTTATAATAATAAAATTTTTTACCTGTGATCTGACAGAGATTATAAAAACGAAAAATACTGTATAATATCAGCTGTAGTATTTATTGTGCATAATACACAACCACAACTTACTAAGAGAAATTACAAATAAACGTGCACATAATTATCAACAATTAACTTACTAAGTAGAACCAATAAAATCATAAATAAGTTGGACATTTCAAACATATATTTTACATGACACTGTTCATTTTATGGGAAAATTTTAAAATCCCACCAATAACGAAAACCTACAAATAATATTAGTATACATTATTGTAGATCAGTTGTGTTCGGTGTATGATATTAAGTATTAAAGAATTAAAGTATTACAGTTTGGTAAAAGTTGCATTATAATAAATCGTTTACGTGTAAGTGTCGTAATGAGGCGCCTTTCAATTTTTTTTTTTTATTTTAACTACGTACAATTACGCATAAGAACAATTAAAAAAATATTTTCTTTAAATCTTTTACCTAAGATATTCGGTATATGCAATTAATTATTACACGTAAACATTTTGATATTCACATGTTTCCGATAAAATTAAAGCTAAATAAAAGTTTATAAATAGCAAAATAAATATTAAAAACTAAACGGGTCAACATAAAAATCAAATCAAATATAAATAGGCAATGTAAAAACCGGATTTAAATTTTAGTTTGGTTGTATAGAAATACTTGCACTAAAACCAAGTTCTTACTTCATAAAAAAAAATCTTCAAGCAAGTTTTCCCTAATTTTGTGTGTAATATATTACAGCTCGTGACATCTAAGCTGGCACTTGGCCGATCGCTACTAGTACCTATTTCAAAAACGTTATGTCCCGTCATGCGGGTTGCATCAACTGCCCTCGCGACCCATATGAAGGCGCTCAAGTACATAATACAAGGGGAGTCAACCCCTGGTCAACCCCGAGAGGCAGCGGAAATGTTTGCAGTCCGGTCTTTTTCCTACCTCCACCCTCCTCCCGCCTACACTGCCCGCGCTAGGCCAAGTGCCAGCTTAGGTGTCACGAGCTGTAATTTGTATGCAAACTTTTGTAATCAATGACTGTGGATGAGTCACCAAATCCTGTGTTATCCCTGTTTGGCTTACACACAACGAGTGAGGTACAAATTAGTGAGGTTCAGTTGGAACCTCAATAAAAAGTCACCCTTGATAACAAATGTCTTTTTAAAACCCCATAAATTTAATTTAGCCCTACGTATTTTTGGAAACCTCGATAACAAGTCGCCCTTGATAACAAATGTAACTTTTAAATCCCCACGAATTTTTTTACCCCTACATGTCATTGGAAACCTCGATAACAAGTCACCCTTGATAACAAATTTCAAATCCCCGCGAATTTATTTTACCCTTATATATAATTAAAAACCTCGATAAGAAGTTGCCCTTGATAACAAATGCAATTTTCAAACCCCACGAATTTTTTACTTCTACATGTTATTGAAAACCTCAATAACAAGCCACCCTTGATAACAAATTTAAAATCCCTACGAATTTATTTTGCCCTTATATGTTATTAAAAACCTCGATAAGAAGTCACCCTTGATAACAAATGCCATTTTCAAATCCCTTCGAATTCATTTTACCTCTATATATTATTGGAAACCTCGATAAGAAGTCGACCTTGATAAGAAGTCTTATATAATCTCCATGAGATTCTTGTTATCGAGGTTCTACCTGTATTTACATTAGGTTTAGATACGGCAAATTCACTTACCTTTATTGAGAGATGCATGGCGCTAACTGCCTGCCTCGCTCCGTTATCATTACACTTGTTATCAGCAAACAGACACCAGCTGTACAACCAGCCGGGATGTTCCCTGTTCCCCAGAGTGCAAGGGAACCGTGCAGCATTGACTATAGATTGTAGATACTAGTGTTGTTGATATTTGAGTTGGGGATTGCTGATCCCATCGGTGCCAGACCGTACGAATCAGCTTTTCCCCTGCGACGCTAGGCTCTTAATACGATTTTTTTCACAATAATTCAGACTAGGGGTTGCAGCATTATAAAACTAGAAATTATATAAAGGCAATAAAAATTAAAATTTATAGACTGTGTTATACCATAGATAAAACATACTCCCTTAGTAGATTCCTCATCCGTATAGAACAGCTGAAGCCAATTATATTGTTAATTCTGTCCGGTGCACTGTAGGGGTCGTGTTTTTACAGGTTGTTTCTTGTTATTTCAGTTATTTAAAACCTCAATTAACTAAATAAAACGATCTAATCATAAACAATAACTCCTTATTCTAGTTATACAACAAAACATTAAAGCACAAATCGTTAAGTTAACCCGAAAATAATATAAAACAAAATTTCGCCGACACTAGCGATCAGTGTCATCGGACATGAACTAGACACAAAAAACTAGCTTCAAAATTTACAATTGGATGAGACGTCTACTTGTGTTGTTTAGTTAATGGTTATAGTTTATGGTTGTGTTCGGAATAGAGATGATCCTATTTTTTACTTTATGACTACGCCTACGCATGAGAATTCAAAGGGGGAGGTATTAAAACGTTTTTAGATGTGTCGGAAATTGAACCCGTCCTTCCCGCACCCAAGTCTGGGATGCTAACCACTGGGCTAGTAACACACCCCAGTTAATTTGTTTATAGCAACTGGGCCGTGTGAGACAGAATTAATAGTTGATTGTGTCATGAGTTATAGAAAGCACATATTGGAGTTGTTTGGAACCATAGACTACAGAACTGTAGAACTATTTTTGAGATTGAGATTGAAGTGTTTTTATTGGTGTATATGATCCATAGTTTTTAGCATTGGTTATAGAATATCTCCGATTATTATAGACTATTGCAATTTAATTCATGATTGAGACAATCCAATAGGTCAACTTGGACGTAGACTATACTATTGAGCGTAGATTTTGCTGTGCTAGGTCTTATCAGGGATTTTGTTCCAATTTTATTTATAGTTTGCCTCCAGGACTGATTACATGACGAAAATAATAGGTTACTAACCTATTATTGATTTTCACATTACTTCAGGGCAGGCCTAGGGGTTGCGCCTTTATTACTTAGATCAAATTCATTGGTGATATTTGAACCCGTTGGCGGGATTTGAACCCGGGATCCCTGGGACCAAAGTCCCACGCTCTGACCACTAGACCAGCTCGCTCCCCTCTATTGAGCATGGGAGATACTGGAATTTAAATTCAAGGTTGCGATTGCAATGATCTCATATGTCTATATGGACCGTAGGCAACATTAGCTAAACTAGTAGGCCTAGATACTAGAGTTAATGTTTGACTTTGGTATTGCAATCTCGTTGGTCTATTTGGACCGCCAAATGCAACATTATTAACTACTAGCTGTAACCCGCGGGCTTTGCCCCGTTTAACTTCTTAATTTTAAAGATTATCTCGTTCGCATGGCTCAATCACGTCCTGGTTGAAGTTTGTTCGCTACGCTCACTCACCTTTAGGTTGGAGCTCGTTCGCTACGCTCACTCACCTTTAGGTTGGAGCTCGTTCGCTGCGCTCACTTGCCTTCAGGTTAGCTCGTTCGCTACGCTAACTCGATCGCCTCCAGGTTGAAGTTCGTTCGCTCCGCTCACTCACCTTTTGGTTGCAAATTAGCTGTTGTCATAAATGTAAAAGAAATAATAGTGCTGCACCCTGTTGGTAATCCTTGGAACTTTAATGCTATTGAACATCATAGAACAGAACCAACTTGTTTAGTTGAAACAGCTGTTAAGATTCAATAATTCCATTTCTCATAAGGTTAACATGGGAAACTCCAGAGCCACTGGGGCGGAGCCCGAAAGGATTTTTGAAATAAGAATATGCCTATATGTTAATCGGGAATGTGAGCTATCATCATGCCAAATTTCAGCCCAATCCGACCAGTATTTTTCGCGTTCACTTGTCACAAACATACATCCATACATCCATACATCCATACATCCAAACTTTCTCATTTATAATATTAGTAGGATTGACTCGTAATATAAAGGTAAGGCTTGTGCCTTATACCATGTAGCCACAAAGGTTTTATGTACTTGGATTCGAGACTACGACAATCTGATCTGGTTGCATGGACCGTATAATACAATGGTCTGGAAAATAGTTATTAGACTTGGATTTGGAATTCAGGATTCCGATAATCCTAAAGGCAAAAATTAACATAAATTACAATTTTAATTATGGACATTGCATCAATCCCTTGATCATTAAATACATCGAGTGAAATATAATGTCCAGCCATACAGTCTATAAATATTTATATATGGTGTTTGGTATTTTTAGATTTGTTAGATTAGCGAAATGTTTAATACAAACTTGACTTACGATTTTTGTACTGATAGCAATATAATTAATGTAATTTATACTCCAATATATCCTGTATTTTACGGTCCAAATCCATCTATTTATTTTTTAATACAATTCAAATTTTTCTCTTTTATATCCCTTTTCAAACCGTCCTACCTATAATAGCTTCATAGCTTACTCTAAGGCGTTGGTGTGTGGCAAATTCGCAAACCCGTCCTAATGCAACAGCTGTTTGACTAATTTATAATGGATTGTATGTGCAATACTATGTTTACATATTCGTTATTACTATAGTAGTAGGAGCGAAAAGGGGTCGCCAGAATTTAAATCCCCCTGGAATTTACCCCCTGTGCAAAGCTGACGTCACTATGACGTAATAACCTGAGTGATCTAAAGTTTGTTCGCGGGCGGAATTTTACCCCCGCGGATTTGGGAGTCTAATGAAAATAGACAGAGCGTGATAAATTAGGTTAGCAATAAAACCGGAATTTTACCCCCTCTCCATATAACTAGCGTTTAGACAACTGAAGATGTACGGGCCGGATTTTTACCCCTGGAGTTTTACCCCCGGAATTTCACCCTCTCTGCAATTATAGAAATTAGTGAGAGTAATTAATTTTCTGATCTCAATTTTGATTGACATTTTATTATTATGTAGCCTATCTTAATTTATTTGCAATTTCAACTAAGTAAACAGGCTTCGCTGTTTAATTTTTATAGTCAAGTTTAGGGATTCGACTTTTGGAGCCAACTGTTACTTAATATGTATGTAAACAAACTGAGTAGCCCATTTGAATGATAATTGGGTGAACATTTCTTAGACAATTTATTAAACGCCCGCCAAAAAGCAATTTATTTCGAAGAAAACTAATTATTCTCACTAGTTTCTATATATGGCCAGGGGGTAAAATAATGGGGGTAAAAATCCCGGGGATAAAATTTTGGGGGTAAAATTCCGGCCCGTACACTCTATCATATAAAGTGTTCTGATTAAATTTACAACCGTCAACACATACGTTTAATTCCAATTTAATTTATTAAACTGGTGTTGTGCAACTCAAAGGTTCGAGGCCGGAAATTTACCCCCTGATTTGTGACGTCAGTTTTGCTAAGGGGGTAAATTCCAGGGGGATAAAATTCCAGGAGGGGTGAAATTCCGCTACCCTATGACACGGCCATACACAAAAACCGCGACCTTGTAGAGGAGGCTATATGACAAGGGTCCCCTCCTATACCTAAATATCAAATCTATTTCTATTAATATATTTCAGTATACCAGGTTTTCTACTAAGTGACAAGATATACGGGAGCATGCTTATTTTTATTTTTTGTATTATAGATTTTTTACCCTAGGGATAAAATTGCAACTAGTAAGCTAAGTGGCACTTTTTGAACGAGTGAAAGAAGTTAGTCCTGGCGTCCATTTTATAGAGTTTAGAAAAGACACTGTTCTTACTAAATTGCATATTATCGTGACAGCAAATTCTTACTTGGAAATAAAATCTAATAAAACGTTGATGTATGTTTTATAACTGAGCTGCATTTTGGGGTGGCGGGATGAACGATGGCATTGCCAACTTGTAAACGAAAAATACTCTCCGTTTACATACAGATATCCATCTTCATAAAGAATTCTTCGTTTTTGAACTAAAACGTTGTTTTTGTTGTTTAATAACAAACTTTTGGATGTAAGAATCTATATATCTAATCTACATAGGATGGGGGAGCAGGCTGGTCTAGTGGTTAGAGCGCTGAACTCCGATTCCTGGGGTCCCGGGTTCAAATCCTGCCAAACCAACAATAGATTGTATCTAAGTGATAATGCCGTAACCCCTAGGTTTAGCCTAAAGTAATGTGAAAAATAATTCCGGGCTCGTGCTTAGCGTCCTAGGACAAGAAAAAAATCTACGTAGGATAATTGTCTGTAGATTGTTATTCATAATTAACTTCAATCAAAATTTTGTTTGTTGAGTTAGTTGTAATTTGGAGTTAGCTAAGTAGTCGGCAAAGTAGAATGTTGAGGATAATTTAATACTTTACTTTAAAATGGTGACCATACGAATGTAAAAATCGGCTGTTTTTTAAACTAATTCAAGTAGATGAAATGCCACTTTGTATGTCAACTAGTAGGAAATAGTTGTTACGTTACTACTCCGGAAAATAAGTGTTTAAGTTTTCTGTTGTAGGTTAATCATTTTGACGCTTAAAAAAAATCAGTACAAAAAAATAAAGTTAGTTTGATTTGTAACTGTGCTTGAAAATTTTTCATCTGAGTTCTTTAGTATCTATAAAACTAGGATTATTATAATCAGCTGGAGTTTGTAAAACAGCCTAGGCCTACTGTACAGTTGTAGTCCCAAGTATTGAAATCGCATTTGATTAAGCAGTCGGAGATTTAATATCATGAGTGGAAAGTCCATCAACACGGGGTAGTGTGACCAACAAATGTTTAGCAAAATAAATTGAAAACAGTTTAGAAGTCATATTTGGAGGTTCTTTTAATGAAAACTATTTTACT